AAAATAAAATAATTTAATTTCTCTTTTCTTTCTTTCTCTCTCTTTTTTTCTTACTCATTTACTTTTACTCTTACTTACTCATACTTATTCTTACTTTTACTCTCTCATAGTGCTTGGAAAAATCAAACAAAAACTTGATTATCAAGTTTTTGAATCTATTGATTTATAGCATTGTGCTTCAATTATAAAATCTATTTTTACTCTAATCTAACTTTAAACTTCATATTAGTTATTATGAAAACTAAAGTAAGTTCAGATTTCTGTTAGATTTATATATATACTAAAAATAAAATTTGTATTTAATTCCCAATATTGTACAAAAAAACTTTTCCTGATAATCTCTTGTACCAAAATTTTACAGAAAAAACTAAACTATAAAAACCTTATATACACTATATTTTATAAAAACAAAACTTCACTTAGCTGCTATCGGGTACAAAGTCCATTCACTGAGTGCTTTGTTCTCTGAAATAGAGTTAAAAAAGATAATGAGCAGACACCTAAGCGAGGCATCTTGGTGAGCTATAGTACTATTGAGCAACAACATAGTAGGATATTTCTAGAGCTTTGTCAAATACTACAGATATGAAAATAGAAGTAGATATTTGGTAAAATATAGTATTATATATGGCATAACTCTTACCAACTTTTGGGTTTTTGGTACTTCTTCCTCATGCTCCTTTGGCCTTTCGAAATTTCAACAAAAGTTGGCTTTTTTGTTTATTCCCTTCAAAAAATCAGCACTTTGCGATGCTGCCAAATATGGTGGCCCAGGCCCCTTCAAATTAGGAACGCATCTACTAAAATAGAATCTCACACGAGTAAATTTGGTTAATACTTGCTAAACAAACAAGGACTGCTGTAGAAGACGGTCGGATAGGGCAGGTGATGAAATTTCTAACATTGTAGATACCATACTTTTTCTTTCTCTTCTTTCTTTTTTATACTTACATATAATGTTAGATTAGATTTACTCTATGCAACCTATATAATTTTTAAAGTTTGGCACAGGCAAAAATAGTGCTGTCATGATTATTTTCTTTGTAACCTTCTTTTTCTTTTTTTTTTTTTTTTTATTTTTATTTTTTTATTTTTTTGTTTAGTTTAGTACTTCTTCTCTTTTTATATTCCTTTTATTTCATAAATCCTCTGTTGTTTGTTGGTAGAAATTCTTCTATCTAGGAGGCTAGAAGAAGAAGGCTAGGAAAGAAGATGATCATAACAGGCTAGTAATCCATGTTAGTAATCTAGAGTAGTCTACTCTGAGATAAACCGAACTTAACTAGTGAGACTAAAATTATTTTTGGCAGATCACACATAGGTGCTCTTATAGTAACTGGGTAAGCCACATTTCTATAGTATGTAGTTATTTCTATGATATAAAAATTTATTGTTTTTGAACCAAATTTAACATCAATAAAGCATTGGAATTGTAACATGATCGTCAAAAAAAAAAATTCCCAATATTGTAAATTAATAGATTCAAAAACTCAATAAACAAGTTTTTGTTTGATTTTTCTAAGCACTACTCTTTCACTTTCTAATATTTATATATAATTTTAATTTAATATATACTTATATTATCCAATTATATTGGTTTATTTTTGTATAACATAACTATAACTTGTTGATTTAAGGATTTCTATACTGTATATTTTTAAATCTAGGCCATTCTAATTCACAATAACTTGAATTTATTAATAGTAAAAACTTTATTTATTAATAGTTTTAGATCTTATTTTTAATATAAATAAAAATATAAAAATATTATAAGATTATTTAATATAAAAAAACACTAACTCTAAGAAAAACTTGAAGTGTTAACTATATCACTTAACTTAATATACAGAGAGTAAAGAGTATGAATAAAAAAAAAAAAAAGATAAAGAAAAAAAAGAAACTAAAGCAAGAAATAGAAAATATAAAGTATAAAAATATAAAAAACAAGAAAAAAATTTAAAAAAAAAAAACAATAAAACTAGAATAGAAGAATGCTGCCACTTATAGAATATAAAAATTTCTTTTCCAAATCAAAAGAGGAGAAACTTGTACTCTATATTAAACAAGAGCCAACAATATTAAAACAAGACAAATTTGTCACAGAATACCTTGGAGCGAATAATATCTGCCTTATTGCAATTATTTGCATGGTTATTGAAAAATATAAATAGGCAGAGAGTAAAGAGTTCAAACATAAATCTATCACAAATGAGGAGAAAACCTTGCTAGGAAATATAGTTACTGCAAATAATACTCAAGAAGAATCTAACAGAAATAGCTCTATTCCAATAGACATTATCCCTGTTAACCAATTATTTTATCAAGCAACTATGGGAAAAATATACCAATTGATATCAAAAATTCTGCTCGTAAAAAATGTCTAACTAAATATGAAGAAACAAATATGTCAACTAACAAGAAGCTTGAGACTAGTCAAAGTATACTAATACAAAATGAAATCAATATACTAGATTATGGTCTGGTTAAACCCCTCTTAACAAACAACCACAGCAGTTCAAAGAGCTAAAACAGCAAAAAAGTTAAAAAACATGAAGATATATTTAACTTAGCATAGGCACCCAAGAGAGATTTTATCTTAAAAGAATACATAAATGAATCTTCCTATTTTTTTTACACTCTAGAATCTCCCAAGGGATACAAGCATAGCAGAAATAAAAAAAATTCCTTAAATATTTCAGTACAGCATCTATTTTTGCTTGGCAATATAACTTTACAAGCAAGGTGGCTTTTATTAAAATTACAACATTCGCTAAGGAATGAGAAATCTTATTAAGAGAAAATTGGTCAGTATATCTGAACCAAGGCAAGATGTATAGAGTTACACCAAACAAATTTAATATCGGACTTCTAGAAGAGCAAAACAAAATACAAAACTATTATATATAATGTATCATCAATAGTCTATAATAGTCTTTTACTCCGTTAGCTAAAAAAGTACAAAGTACAAGCAGTATATACACTAAATAACCAAAATAGCAACCAAAGCAAAAGAGCACAATTGTATTTTAAGTCTTAGCAGGATCTGTTACAAGCTCAGAAGTTGACTTTAATACAAAATTAGAATGAAGATGCATAGTAAAAAGGCAGAAAACAGTAGCTATATGAGTATACAATATCTGTATAATACTAAAAAAAGACCCCGAATAAACTTAATTAGACTCGTTTAACAGAATAATTCAAAAAGCAAAAAGGCTAAAGAAATCTTCGAGCAGAATATCAATATGCACAGAGATCTAAGGCCAAGATTGACTGAGAAAAATCTAGCTTTAAACAAAGAAAACTTAGATTTTCAATCCAGGAGTTTAGTAAAGCTGTTTGAAAAGAGCATGAATAATCTGAAACACAAGTTTATAGAAAAGAATATTCAATCTATTAATAAGCAATGGAAGGGCAAAAGACCAAATATCAATCAAGAACCAAAAAGAGTTGTAAAAGAAAGTAGTAAAAAAAAATTAGACCAAGTCAACTTATTGTAAGAAATTTTTAAAAGACTAGAATTACTCGAAGAATGTCAAAATAGTAGCAAGGGCCTTATGTACTTCTAAGAAGCACCACAGGCACTACACCAATTATAGATACCCCAAATAGTAGCCAGGTTCGGTCACAGCTAGTACCAATACAAAAATCAGGACTAGCAAAGCAAATCAACATAGCAATATACAACATTAATAAGCTTAAGGTGCATAATTATAGAATAAAACTTTTGTTAAAATAGGCAAAGAAAAAAGAATACAATTTAATTGGGATCACAGAGACAAACCTGCAAAAGCGTGAAGCAGGGTTTGTGTTAAAGAACAATAGTAATTTTAAAGAAATATAGTCGATCAGCTCAAAATCTAAAAAGAAAGGCTTTGGTGTTGGCCTCCTGGTTCAAAAGGATTTAGAAAAGCATATTGGCAGAATAGAGAAGCCAAATGAGTATATATTAATAGTACACTTTTATTTTAAGATCTACAAGTTAGTAGTAATTCTGGTTTATATTTCTCCAAATAATATAGAGATGATAAAAAAAATAGATATGTTGGTTTGAAACAAAATAAGTAAAACACAAGATAGGGATCTCACAATTGTAATGGGAGACTTTAATCATACCGTAGATCTAGTATTAGACAAGTCATTGCAAGCGAAGAGCTATAGAAAACTAGCATTGCATAGATGGCTTAAAGAATATAATTTCGTTGATATATACAGATTGCTCAATCCTTACAAAAAGAAGTTTACATGGAGCAATAATATAGTCACAACAAGAATAGATTAAATATAGGTATCTCGAGATATAGTCAAAATAACACAAAAAGCTAATATTGAGTGCATATTAGAGATCATAAAAAGTGATTATAACTTAGCATTTACAAAAATCAAATGGTATTTGCCAACCTATTTAAGTAACCATCTGATCAGAAATATTCCAAGCATGAAACAAAGAGTGTGGAAACTAGATTTAGCTACAAAACAATTACTGAACAAGTCTTTAAGGTAGGCTAAACATTAAACAACTAAAAGTTCTCAAACAAGAAATATTACTTTTAAATCTATCAACACTAGAAAAATTAGAAGCAGATCTTGATGAATTGTGGGAGTCCCTAGAGAGCGCAATTTTACTAGCAGGTCAACACAATCTACCAAACAAGATAGTAGATTTTGGAAGAAGAGTAAATTGCAAAGCCAAAGAAAGCAGATTTATAAAGGTAGCTTACTTGCTAGGCAAGTTAATTAAAGAGACTAGAGTAGCAAATAGTATTGAGTTACAGAAAAAAACTGCAAAGTGAAATAGAAGAATCAAGCAAATAAACTCATTAGCAGATAGCAACATCAAAGATATTAAAATATTAGAAGATGGCGCATGGCAGGCAGATGTATTTATATGGTGGAAAGCAATTGAAGGCAAATTAATAGCAAGTAGCGAGCAGAAGAAGAAAAAAGAAATACAAGCATATATTTAAAGAAGAGCAGAACAAATTGTAAATGAGCAAAAGAAAATGCTAACTAGCCTTCTGGAATGGCCATTTCACAAAGTAGTTTTGGATAGAGTACTAGCACAAAATCAAAACCAAGAAACATTATTAAATGATCCTGTAGAAGTTTTAGAAGAAGTGCAAGCCCACTTCTAAAAGCAATTCATAAGCAAAAAAAATAGTTATACAGAAGTGAAGAAACTTTGGTTTGATGAGTACCAACCCAAAAGAAGAATCCAAGAGTCTTGGTTTGATCCAATAATGCAACCAGTCATACTAGAGAAGTGGCAAGCAATATTAAGAGAAAGTAAAGCTAACTTAGCCCCAGAAATATCAACAATCTCATACCCTCTATTGAAACAAGCAGATACAAGATCTCAACAAGTCTTTAAGAACTTTACAGAACTATGTTTATAAGTTGGCAATGTCCCAGTTAAATGAAAAATGACACAAATCTACCATATACCAAAAGGGCAGGATTGGGAATTTAACCTAGATAGAGTTAGACCAATTGTATTAATAGAAGTATTTAGAAAATGTGTGACAAAGATATTAACAAAGAAACTAAGCAAAGTTATTAAAGAAAAAGATATTCTACATAGCCCCAACTTTGCAGGATTATCTGACAACTCTACCGAAGAGCCAGCTTATATATTAAAGATGCTTTCTTTGGCTTTGCAATTTACTCTTCTTCCAAAATCTACTATCTTGTTTGGTAGATTGTGTTGACCTGCTAGTAAAATTGCGCTCTCTAGAAACTTTTCAAAAAAACACAATTAATTAATAGAGGTCTCACGATTTGTAGCAGGGTACTTTGCACGGGAGATATTGTGTTATTTTTACCCTCTTCTTGAATACTCTAGTGCAGTTATTTGAAATAAAGCACCAATTTCCAAGCCACGACTGTTATTACAGTATTATGAATCTGCTACGTTATACGAGGTATGTGTTATCTCAGGAAAACCCCGAAACAAAGTACACCATACCCATCATTTGAAGTAATGCAGTAATGCGACTACATTTATCTACAATGTAACAAGTTAGGAGTATAACGCTAGATCTAGTAGTAAGAGTTTTTTTATGCATAAAGCAGAATGGCGTCAAAACATCTAAATCAAACCTTGATTAATTAAAAAGCTTGTTTTGGAAAAGCGGGTTGCTGAAATGGGCTATTGAAACGAAATAGTAGCTATGAATATAGCATTTTACAGGGGTTAGAGTATGCAAACTTTACTCAAAGATTAACTTCGAACTAAAAGAGATTAAAGGTAGAGACTTATATAATTTGATAGAAAAACATCTCGCGCATATTTTTTTCTTAATTTGTAAAAGGGTAATAGTTTCACAAAATTAAGGTTGTCATATGAGAAACCATTTGCGAAGCCGAAATTTTCATATAAAATTCAAATGATCGATATTCGATTTATCATATGAATATCAATCCAAACCCCTGTATAAGGACATGTCCCATGACTGATATAGTTATTAAATGTTTTCGATAAAATTTCGTTGAATTGTTTTTTTTTTTTTTTTTTAATATTAAAAATGACCACTTAGGCCATTGGCATGAGCTTTATTTCGGATAGTTATGATATTACATCAGATTCACGAGGATACAACTAG